TACTTTACTTCTGAATTCATTGTTAAGTCCATGGAAGAATGTCTTATTGACATTGCTTTTGAAAACCAGAAAGATTCTTCTCCTCAAGTTTTCCTTTCAAATATGCAAGATCTTTTTACATGCTATGTGATCACAATAGTCTAACCATAATGCAATTCATATGTGATCAAAAATGGTGTAACTATAACATGCAAGCAACCTAAGAGGCTGAAGATGAAAGTACTCGGAAGCATCTTCTCCCTTGTGTAAACCAAAAGTCTTCATTCCAATAAAATAGGATGGCACAGCTCATCAGTTCTCCCATGGATCAAGACTCCCACTCTTCCACTTAGAAGACACAGAGAAACATACTCAATGTGTACCAGCAGCAGACACGCTAAGCCCAGTGGTGTTTGGGTTTGTTGTTGCAGATTCTCAACTAGAAAATGTAAGACCCTATCAGGAAACAGTACAGAAGGGGAGGGCAGAAGGAATGTCAGAGCTAGGGAATAGGGGAAATGTGCAGCACAAAGATGTCTGCTGGAAGGGACACAGGCATTGCGCTCATGAACTCCCTGTAGCTGTCTATCTGCACAAGACCTGCATAAGACTGGGACCCCCCAAGATGCCATCATAGATAGGAGTGGATGGATTTACTGCTGAATTCTACAAAAATTTCAAGAAAGATTTAATACTAACACTACTCAAACCTTCCAGAAGGATAGAGAAAGAACACAGCCAAATGCATGCTATGAAGCAATTGTAACTCTGATGCCAAAACCAGACAAAGAAAGAAAACTGCAGACCAATCCCTCTAACAGACAAGACTCTCAGCAAAATGCTCTTAAACTGAATACAAGATCGTATTAAGAAGGTATTCATCATAAGCAAGACGATTTCATCCCAAGAACACAAGATGGGTTCAACATAGCAAATTAAAAAAATGTAATATACCACATTAACAGACTTAAGACAGAAATTATGTGATCTTCTTCATAGATGCAGTAAAGGCATTTGACAAAGTTCAACAACTTTCCTAATAAAAAGCTCTGATGACTGCAGGGTAGTGGTGGCGCATGCCTTTAGTCCCAGCACTCAGGAGGCAGAGGCAGCCAGATCTCTGAGTTCAAGGTCAGCCTGGTCTACAATGCAAGTTCCAGGATAGCCAGGGCTACACAGAGAAACCTTGTGAAGTGGGAAAAAATGAGCACTGATGAAATCAAAAGTAGACAGAAGACAGCCCAACAGACTGAAGGCTGCATATGGCAAGCCTCTGGCCAGCATTACACCAACTCCTTTAAACCCCATCACAGGACAAGGGTGCTCTTTCTAGTCTTATTCAGCACAGGCATACTGTAGTAAGGCAAGAAAAAGATATAAAGGGAGTAAAAACTCGAAGAGAAGAAATTAAATCATCCCTTCTACAGACAATATAATTCTATACTTAAGACTCCAATGAACTCCATCAGAGAGCTCTTGACGCTGACAAATAGCTTCAGGAAAGTAGCAGGATACAAGGTCAATATTCGATAATCAATAGTTTTTATATGCATGAACAACAGACTTCCTGAAAAAGATATCAAGAGAAATGTTCATTCATGATAACTCAAAAATATATGAGGATAAAGCTAAGCAAGGAGATAAACTTTAAAACGCTGACAGATAAAATTGAAGAAGACACTAGACAGTGGAAAAACTTCCATGTTCCTGGATTTTCAAGATTCATACTGGGAAAATGACTATCCTACCAAAATGAATCTACTGATCCACCAATGTCCCAGTGACATTCTTCAGAGATCTAGAAAAAAAATCTAAAGTGCATATGGAAACACAAAAGTTCACATTTAGCCAAAGCACTTCTAAGCAGAAAGAGCATGCCCAGAGACATCCCATTGCTTGACCTCAAGCTATACTACAGACCCATAATGATAAAGACAGTGTGGTGTTAGCAGCACAAATACAGCTGTGTAAATTAATGGCACATAATAAAAGACCCCATAGATAGCCCACGCAGCTATGCTCATTTCATTTTTGACAAAAAAATCAAAAACATTCACTGTGAATAAAGACAGCCTTTCAATAATGTTGTCAAAAATGGATATCCACCTGAAGAAGAATCAAAAGAAATCCATATGTTTCACCATGCCCAAAAATGATCATTTCAAATTGGATCAATGGACCGTGACAATGGAGTGCATATGCACAATGGAATTTCATTTAGCCCAGAAGAAAAATAGAAATTTAATTTTGCATGAAAATGATTGGAAATGGAAAGCATTTTCTTTGTTTTTTTTCAATATTTACTTTATTCTTAAACACCTTAAAGCCAAGAACACTGAAAGCACTAAAGCAAAGCACAGAGGAAACATTTCAGAACACAGGAATAAGCAACAAATTTCTGAATAAAATGCTGATAGCTCAGGAAACAGCCTCAAGAACTGACAGATAGGAATACATGGAATTAAAACGCTCCTGTAAAACAGAATAGCTACCAACAGAACAAACAGAAAGCCTACAGAATGGGGGCTGAATCCTTGTGATCTGTGCCCCAGAAAAGGGGTAAATATCAAGAATATGTAAATAATTGCATAGATTAAATGTCAAAAATTCTGCCAATCAATAAATGAGCCACTGATCTGAAGAAATACTTTTTAAAAGAAGAATGTAAACAACTAAGAAACACTTTTAAAAGTGTATCATATTTCTAGCCATCAGAATAAAGCAAAATTCAACTATCTTGAGATTCCATCTTACCCTAAGCAGAATGACCATCATGGAGAAAATAAATGACAACAGATGCTACCGAGGATGTAGGTTTTGAGAACTCCCACTGCAGAGTGTGAACTAGTGCAATCACTGTGGAAAACACATGGTGGCTTTGCAAAAGACTGAAAATAGAGCTTCCATAGGACCCCACTGTCACCCTCAGGCATGTACCCGAGGTCTCTGTGTGCTACCACAGAGACAGCTGCACAGGCATGTTTATTACTGCTAAATCCACAATAGCTAAGAAATGGAATAACTACATCTACATCAACAGATCTCCAGCAACAGATCAATGAGCCATGACAATGGGTACTGCGGTGCTTTGAGCATGCTCAGCCCATAAGAAGTGGCCTTATTAGGAGTGTGGCCTTGTTGGAAGAGGTGGGGTCTGTTGGGGTGTGTCACTGTGTAGGTGGGCTTTGAGGAGGTGCTCAACTTCTGCCCAGTGCTGAAGAGAGCCTCCTTCTGGCTGCCTGCTGCAGTATCCTCCTGCCTACCTTCAGATCAAGATGTGGAACTCTCAGCTCTTCCAGCACCATGTCTGCCTACACACTGCTATGCCTCCCGCCATGATGATAATGAACTCAACCTCTGAACCTGTAAGCCAGCCCCAATTAAATGTCATCCTTTATAGGAGTTGCCTTGGTCATAATGTCTTTTCACAGCATTGGAAACCCTAACTAAGATAGGTACATATACACAGGGAATTTCAATTAGCCTAGAAGAAAACTAGAATTATGTAATTCGCAGGTTGGAAATGGAAACCATTTACTTTGAGGTTTTTTTCAATAGTCATTTTATTCTGTATGTCAGAGTGTTTTGCTTACATCTATGTCCGTACACATGTGTGTACTTGGTACCTACAGAAGGCACTGGATCTCTTGGAATTAACTGGGAACTGAACCTTAGGTTTTCTGCAATAACAAGTGCTCTTTATCACTGAGCCATTTCTCCAGCCCTGAAAATAATTTTTTAATAATTATTTTGTGAGTCTTAATTATGTATGTGTGCATATGAATGCATTTGTCCTCTGAGGACAGAAGCATTTGATCCCCTTAGAGCTAACGTTACAGGCAGTTGTGAGTTGCCAGTTGTGAGTTCTGGGAACTCATTTGCAAAAACAAATGCTCTTAACCACTGAGCCACCTCTCACAGGGACATTCTATTTACCCAGGCTCAATGGCCAAGACAAGTCAGTATATTCTCCCTCATGTGTGGATCCTAGCCTCTAACTGTTAAATATGTGTGTCCAGATGAGAGTATATTCGGGTAGAGCCCACAAAATGAGAAAGGAGCCCATGAGGCTAGAAAAATAGAGAAGCTTTAAAAGATGATGTTGAGGGCGGCAGTAGAACATTTGGAACAGGGGGATGCTGGAGATGAGAGAATATAGTGGGAAGAGGGGCAGGGAAGACAGAGGATCACGCAAATAAAACATGCCTGAAAAATACAGAAGCCTATTACCAATAAGCTAATTCAGGAAGTTCATTAAAAATTTAAAAGATATGAAAAGTGATCCATACAAAAAATAAGTAAGATAAAAAGAAACATTAGAAGGGAAGTTGATGTTTTCCTTCCCAATTCCCTCATGCTTTCCCTGTTGTTTGTATAAACATTCTCATGTCTGAAATCCCTGCTCATGCTAGTACTGCCTCCATGGATGATATTTATCAATGCATGAAATTAAATATGAGGGAAATTCATGTTACTATGGATAACGTGTTCTAAATTCAACTATGGAAAGCATATAAAAGTCTGCCTTTGCTACTTACTTGGTACTACAGTATCAAAGATGTGTCTGTGTTCCACAAAGGAAACTTCCAGAGAATTTGCTAAGTGTGAAAAAGACTCATGAAACAATGATCAAACTATACTGCAACTTCCAATATGCTAAAGGACAGAAATACTCGATTAAAACAGAAAGCCAATCATTTAAAAAGCTCAAAGAGGGCTAGAGAAATGACTCATAGGTTAAGAGCATTGGCTGTTCTTCCAGAGGACCTGAGTTCAATTCCCAGCAACCACACGGTGGCTCAGGACCATCTGTAATGGGATCTGGTGCCCTCTTCTGGCCTGGAGGCATACAGGCAGGCAGAACACTTCACATATAATAAACAAATCTTAGGAAGGAAGGAAGGAAGGAAGGAAGGAAGGAAGGAAGGAAGGAAGG